AGCATGGAGTACCACATGTGGTGTGTGGAGAGGTGAAAATTTTTGAAGTGGAGGAGCCAAAAAAAATTATACTTTGCCGAGTGTCTATTATTGACACTCGGCAAAGAGCCTCTTTGCCGAGTGTTGCATTTGTACACTCGGCAAAGAGCTGACGCGGCAGGCTGGATTAACGGCGGGCCAAAATTTGCCGAGTGTCAGACGTTGACACTCGGCAAAGAGGACGTCTTTGCCGAGTGTTACCTGTTGGCACTCGGCAAAGAGACGTCTTTGCCGAGTGTCAAGCCTGAGCACTCGGCAAAGAGTAGCTTTGCCGAGGGTCATGTCTTTGTCGAGTGTTGAAGTTTGGGCACTCGGCAAAGACATCCTTTGCCGAGTGCCCGATATAAAAAACTCGGCAAAGTTCTTGGCACTCGGCAAAGATTGCGATTCCGGTAGTGTCACATCACACCAAACCTATTGTGTTGTGCTGATCGAGCAGTAATGGCAAGTAAGCTGTGTGGTTAATTCCGGCCATTTTTATAGATGCATCCTGTTCTAGTACTAAAAATTTATTCACTTGCTGCATTCATATGTGACTTGCACTGAAAAAAGGCAAATGCGCACCCAATTTTTTGAGCGGAAACTGGGTCCAAAAACCATACAACTCAGAAGAGTGCTCCACTCGTCCTAGCAACTTTGGTACAACAACAGGGCAACTATCAGAACTCACACCACTGCTTCATCCAACTTGGTCAGAACGACCCAACTAAATAACTCAACTATCAACTAACAAGGACCGAAGAAGACGACGTCCTGCTGAGTGACACCAAACAGCAAGGATCAATCGCGAAACTGGAATGTCTAGCCATGCCCTCAAGGAGGAAACGACGCTAAAAGCGCCAACATGGTAGCCCGCCAAGGAAGGTTTTTACCTGCAACATCCAGTACGGTAGGAGAAGAGGTAGGAAAGGACGCCTTCAAGAAGGGAACGACGTCGTCGTCCACGCTTTCGCCCCCACCTCAAACCACCTCCACACCGTCGCAGCCAGAGGCCCAACCCTACCAGGAGGCAGGGTGCAGCGCCTAGACGCCACCCCAAGGGACGCCGACCAGGAGAAGCGTCGGGGGGAACCCGCCTAAGAGTCCGCCCCCACCGCAACCGGCAATGCCGGCCAGCAGCAGGCAGAACCAACCAGCTCCACCATGAAAACCAGCCCGGGGAAGGGGAAAGGTAGATGGCAGGGAGAAGAGGGACGGGATCAGAAGAAGCCCCAGTCGCCCAACCCACCAACGTCCCCACCCCCTGCTGAGCCAGCCCCGCAACAACCACGCCGCGCAACACCTCAGCAGCCTCTGCGCCGAACTGCCACTGTCACGCCCGCTCCCCAGCCCTCCGTGGATCTCGGTCAAACCACGTCACTAACACCGGGCGAGAAAGACACAGGATGCCGCAATGGGAGCGCCAAGCACCAAGCGTCTGCAGCCCCAGCCATCGACGCCGTTCCCGGCACCCAGGCTGGAGCCGCCGCCGTTGACGCATGGGCTCCCCGCTGGATCCAGCAAAGAATCACCGCATCCAGCCAGCAGGCCACCGAATCCAGCCCCAAGCCGCCGGATCGAGAGGGGAGGAGGCCGGCCCCCAGCCAGATCGCCGTGCGGTCGCCGTCATCCACCCTGGAGGTGCCGGATCCGACCCCCAAGACCCTGGACCGGACCGGGCCGGCGCCGCCGCCGCTGCTTCAAGCAGCCCATAGCCGCCGTCATCGCGCGGCCCTGCGCATGGCACCACCACCGCCATGGCCCTGTAGGTCGCGAATCCACCCATGGGGGCGATGGATCTGGACGAAGGGATGAGGACTGGTGGCCGAAGCGTCGGGAAAGCACCGCAGTACGGGATGGAGAGTCGCGCCGCCAGCACGGCGCGTGTGCTCCGCCCGGCCAGAAAGCCCTGCCGCCGCCCTCCTTGCAGGAGCCGAGCGTCCAGCCACCCGCTGGGGCGACGGCAGGGGAGGGAGGGAGCAGAGCGGGGGCTGGTGGCGGTGCTACGGGGGCTCCCCCGAGTCGCCTATGGGAGTGACGCGAGGGAGAAGGATCTCTTCTCTCGCAGATTGCACTGGCATACATCGATGACAATGTACGTGACTGGAAGTGAGCTACGGGTATTATTGTCTAATGTGGGATTTGCCACCATATATCAATGTCAGTGTGCAATGGAAAGTACATGTTCATGACACTAAATAGAAGTAGCAAAATTAATCATTAGCTGCATTAAGATTTGTGTAAACTGTTTGAGAGGAGCACCGGAACAAAACTGTACTAGCTAGCTAGACTAGCAAGAGTCAACCAATAAGGGCATGCACAACGGGTGTTTCAGCGTCGTCTGTATGCTGTCAATCTTGCAAAAAGGACCCCGATGGATACAAAGAGATGGCAGGATCGTCGTCTCATGAAGAGACGACCCCTGGCTCCTGGTGCCACGCATACCGACGCTTTTCGTTGCCCCTTGTATGAACCATTGCCTTGAAGCACCGATTCCTCTGGATCAGGTGTGCAACCTGCGCCTTGCTGGCTCGCAGTGCCCTTCACTCCTCGTCAAGCTACCGCCGCACCAGCCACACTGCTCCACATCGCACTAAGCAAAGAAGCACGCCGCGCTGGCGCGAGGCTAGCACGCCTCATCAAGTTGCTCCTCGCCATGCTGGGTCACCACGCCACGCATGCACCAAGCTAGTACCTCGCCAAGCTACGCCGCGCCACCCAACACCTCACCGCGTCGGCGCAAGAGGCTATCCATGAGCTGCCATGCTGGGAGAGATGACAGAGACGCTAGACACATGAGACAACAGTAAGGGAGCAAGATGAAAGGAAGAGAGGGAGCCAGACGGATGAGAGCCTCACAGTCGCAGCCTCATGAGTCATCCAAAAGAAAAAGATGCAGGAAAGCAAGAGATAAGGGGCAATATTGTAATTTTATTTTTAAATTTTTACTGATTTTTGTTTACTTTTCCTAGAGGCTAGAGGACAATATCTAGTTGAGGATAAAATGGCAATGACATGAACACAATAAAAATTAGACATACATGATGTTACATTCTGTGGCGAACCACTACTGGAAACAGGGCCTTTGTCGAGTGCAAACTGCTTTGCCGAGTGCCGCGCTCGGCAAAGAATTCTTTGCCGAGTGTCGGGCACTCGACAAAAAAGGGCACTCGGCAAAGGACTTCTTTGCCGAGTGCCAGGCTCTCGGCAAAATAGCGGCACTCGGCATAGGCTGCCCCACGTAACGGTGTTCGACCACGTCCTTCTTTGCCGAGTGCCTGCTGTTAGGCACTCGGCAAAGTTATTTTTTTTAAAAAATACTTTGCCGAGTGCCTCTGACACGGCGCTCGGCAAAGATTCAATATTTTTTTTAAATGTCTTTGTCGAGTGCCTAACAGCTTAGGCACTCGGCAAATGGAGGAATTAAAAAAATTACATTTTTTTTGAAATACCTTTGCCGAGTGCCTAACAGCTTAGGCACTCGACAAAGCGGAAATTTCTAAAAAAATTCAAAAACCCTCTTTACCGAGCGCCTTATTCTTGGCACTCGGCAAAGACTCCATTTGCCGAGTGCCATGCCCCGGCGCTCAGTAAATTTTTTTTTTGTTTTTGGCCTCCAAATTTTTTGTGCAGCCCTTTTAAAGTACCAGGAACTCCTCATTAGAATTTGGGGATTTTTTGTGGCTTTTTGATATATTTAGTTACTTTATTTCGTTTACTTGAATTTTTTCGAAAAATATAAATTTGAACTGCACATGGTACAAATAATGGAATTTAATTATTCAAAAAATGATAGTCATGTTACTAAGTGTAGTGTGAGGCCGTATTTAGGAACGGACCCGAAATTTCGGACATCTTGTTCACGAAACATGACCGCGAACTTGCGTGCGAAGTGTTTTTAAATTCTATAAAAACCAAACGAAGTCCGAAAATCATGAAACTTGTTGAGATATCGTGATATCGTATGTGGAGGCTATGATAAAAATTTCAGAAGATTTCGTGCACGTTGTCATGTACGATGCTTACAAAGTGAAGAATCTCCGAAGAAATTTCATGATTTCATGAAGAGGCCGACAAGGTGGTAAGCATCGTACATGACAAACTTGCGTGAAACCTCCTCAATTTTTTATCACAACCTCCACATATGATATCATGACATCTCGACAAGTTTCATGATTTTCGGACTTTGTTTGCTTTTTATAGAATTTAAAAACAACTTGACTGCAAGTTCGTGGTCGTGTTTCGTAAAGAAGATGTTCGAAATTGGTGGTCTATTCCTTTGTACGGCCTCACATTATACTAAATAACATGAATATCATTTTCCCATTCATTTTTTTTCATTATTCGAATGACTAGTCGTTATAATTTGAATTATCTAAGAAAATTCAATTAAATGAAATAAATTAAAGAAATATAGAAAAAGTCCGAGAAATATGCCACATTAGAACATGGAGTACCAGGTATTGTACGAGGACTGCAGAAAAAGTTTGGAGGTCAAAAGTGAAAAAATATGGTTTGCCGAGTGTGAAAAAATGACACTCGGCAAAGGAGCCTCTTTGCCGAGTGTCAAAAAAAACACTCGACAAAGAGGGGGTTTGACGAGTATCAAAAAAACACTCGGCAAAGAAATAATTTTTTTTCTAGAAAAGAAGCAGAAGAAAAAAATAAAAAAAACTTTGTCGAGTGTCAGATCTAAAACACTCGGCAAAAAATAAATAAAAAATAAAAAATCATTAACCCAGTGTCAGATCTAGAACACTCGGTAAAACAGTATGTCAGATCTAGGACACTCGGCAAAGCTGCTATACTATATAACTGCAAGGCGACGCGCGCACACGCACACACGCACGCAGGCAGCTGACCGCGCCAGCGCCGCCGTCGCCGCCCACGCCCGCGCCCACGCCAGCACCGTCGCTAGGAGTCCCCTCCTGCGCGCACAAGTCAACTCCCGCCTGCGGCCGCCGCGCCCCACGCCGGCCCCCATGGCTCGTTCCGCCTCCACTCTCGTCGCCGGCTTTCTCATCGTCCTCGCGCTCCTCACCCTGGATGCGGCGCAGGGCCAACAGCCCTTCCCGCCCACCGATCCCTCCGACGGTATCGATTTCTCGCTCCTTCTGTGGTGTCTGAGGTTGTGTAATGGCGACGAGAAAGTTGGCAGCTAGTAACTCGTGGATCTCGCGTTCCTGCAGCGGATGCCCTGCACGCTGTGTTCCGGCAGTGGCGACTGGAGGGGGAGGCGGCGGCGGAGGACCCGTGCATGAAGCGCGTCTGGTCCGGGTCGTTCGAAATAAACGCGTCTATCGACTGCAATTGCCCCGCTATCAGCCGGTGCCGAATCACGGGCCTGTGCGTCGTCTTCACTCTTTCTCCCATTTGATGCTGATGCCTATGTGCCGAATCCCGCTGGCTCTCTTCAATTTGACGGAGCTCGTCTCTCTGTGAGTTTTTGAATCGATGGTTCATGCTGTACAATTGCAAATGCTTTAGGGAGCTTGATGTTAGATTAAAATGGTTTCTTGAAGTAATGACTACTCTTCTGTAGCTTGAAATTGCACCACGACAAACTACTTAAGAATATATCCGAGTTTACTTAAAAAGAGTAGGCCTATAACTAAGATTCTCATGAAAATATGGAATTGTGCTAACATCCAGTGTTCTACTGCCCAGAGGAATATACCAGACATGAATGTACCTATGGTCATTGTTAGCTTTGCTACTTTTTAGTATTTTGGTATCTCAGATATCCATGTAATACATAGCATCTAATTGAAAAAACTATCTGATCTCATCCTACCAAACTGTTAGTATACATGACAGTAGTATACATGACAGAAAGCTTGTCTACCATGACTCCCTCCTATCCTATTGTAGTTGTCATTTTAGCTCTATTGGAGCAACATACTTTGCTCCTACGAATTGTACCATAGATTCTCGAACAGTATAACACCACTGCCATTCTACTGAGAAGCAATGAGTAGGGCTATTTCGTGGAAAGTGTTGCCTCGGACAACCAAATTAAACTGACAAGTATTTGCTGATCAAATGCACTTTCAATTATAACACTTGTTTTGGACCTAAGGCTACCATTTTTAAGCTCTACCGGCTTTATTATAACCCTGTTTTTTCCCCTTACCCTTGATTGTCAATATGGTTCTATGCATTCTCTTGTGAGAATAGGAATTTCAATATGATTGTAAGTCGCCTCCTATTTCATTTTGTAGGGATTTAAGTAATAACAACTTGAATGGTTTAATACCCCCAGAAGTTGGCAATCTTTCCAAACTGGAAACATGGTGATAACCATACTTGCTCCCCTAAATATAAGCCTGTACATGTTATTTAGCTCTTCATTGAGCCATTGTTGTTGTATTATTCCAGAATGTATCTATTGATGGTCCATCTTGCTGAATGCTATTAATTCAACCTACTGCTAACAGAATGATTAAAGTTTTCCTACTTGATTGGGCCACAATAGTACAACACTACATCCCTGCCATGCATCTATAACAGCCGAGCGCCCATTTTCCCAGCTTTGCCGAGTGTTGCACTCGGCAAAACACTCGGCAAAGCTGGAAAAATGGGCGCTCAGAAAACCATTTTTCTAGCTTTGCCGAGTGCCATGACCATGCTACTCGACAAAGAATTTTTTTTTAAAAAAAATCAAACTTTGCTGAGTGCCGGCCAGAGGGCACTCGGCAAAGAATTTTTTTTAAAAAAATTCAAACTTTGCCGAGCGCCGGCCAGGAGGCACTCGGCAAAGAATTTTTAGAAAAAAAAATAAAACATTTGCCAAGGGCCGGATAGAGGGCACTCGGCAAAGAATTCTTTTAAAAAAAAATCTTTGCCGAGTGCCTGCAGGGTTGGCACTCGGCAAAGCGACTGTCAACGGGGCCGGCGCCGTGACAGTCGCTTTTCTTTGCCGAGTGCCCGATAAAAGACACTCGGCAAAGAGGGCTTTGCCGATCAATTTTTTGCTGTGTGTTCTTTGCCGAGTGCAATTTGGCCTTTGCCGAGTGCCTCAGGCACTCGGCAAAGAACCTGAATCCAGTAGTGAACTAGAATCATAGCTTGTTACTGAGAAGTACTACAGTGCAGATATGACTATATTGGAGAAATAAATATACTGGTGCAGTGGCACTAATATCTATCACTAGACAAATGCATTTACCTGGCCTGTGCATTTTGGTTCCTATATATACCTCCCGACGCAGCTTCAGTTCAGATCACCATTTAGAACAAACTCATTCATACATTGTGTGTAGCGTGAACAAAGATAGTTGCCGTAAGACGAAGTCCATAATTAAGTGTATGCGGCACATATATAGGAGTTAGAGGCATTGGGAGTGTGATAGATGCCAGGTAAAAGGTTTCTGGGACAGAATCATCCAGCCTGGGCTCCGTACAGGCAAACCAGTCAGCGAACTGGTGGTTCGTTGCTGCAAAATGGGCCAACCAGGCAAAAGTGCAAAATGATTCTTGGTGCAATGATACTCAGCTGTTTCACAGAAGAAGGATTAGTTACCTCATAGAAACTAAAAGATGATACCAGCTTTGGATTTTGGATGGAATGTTGTGCATCCATCTGTCAGGAAAACTTAGATATGTTGGTTGTCTTTTAGATAATGAAAAAAAATCTGGCTTCATCTTTCTTTGACGAAGCATCATACCGCACTTATAACACATGCACTAAGAATTTAAACATGCATGTTACAAGTTCGAAACTAAAATCCAAGACGGTAAGTGAAAGACCATCCATTAGACGTGAAGAAGTGTATGGTTCTTGATTCTTGTATCCTTCAGGCTTGGCGAATCTGTTCTTTGTCTTCATCCGAGCGCTATAATAGGTGATTATGGTAGTTATCTAGAATGAGGTTCCCTTGCATGCTAGTAGTATCTCAAACTAAATTTCTTTTTTCTCACATATACGGGAATATCTCAAAAGCACTTGAGCCAAGAACAGTAAACAGAGGTACTGCTTTGGAGTACCTTCAAAACAGAGAAGTTATAAAGCAGCTGGGACGTGAATAAGATTTCTCATTTCATCCTGTTTTGTTGCCAATGCATCCGGCACTACATGTTTCAACTTGAACCAACATATATATATGTTAATTAACTGCTGTAATTTTCTAGAGTCCTCAGACGTTTCGCTTGCCACAGCAACCTACGATCTACAACAAAGATTAAAGACACTCTGCAGCTGCAACAAACATGTTTGGTCCCAGATTGAGGGCTTTAGCATATATGATTCTTTTCGTGGGAACTGTGGACTATAGCGATTCTTCAGTAATGGAAACTAAGATGTTTAAACCTCCGTTACCTTTTGTGTTTTTCCAAGATAATGGAAGAAAACTTCAATAGTTCGTATGCATTGCATTCCATGTTATCACACAGTTTCATATCATTCATGTATTTGAGACACATTGCAAGGTATAAAATCCAGTTTGACTGTATTGAGAATAAAGGATTAATCACTTAATATAAAGCATTGCAGGATCGTATTCTAATGCAACGTACATGACACCAAACCCATTTTGGTGTGTTGGTCGAGCAGCAAGGCAAGTAAGTTGTGTGATTATTTCCAGTCTGGTTGATACATGCATCTGGTTCTATATATAGCTGCCAATTATTTACTTGCTTCATTGGTACGTGACTGGCACTGGCATTAACAGCAAGCAGTGCATCACAGGAGTTCTTATTTCTCTTCTTTTCCTTGTCGTGTGCCAATGCAAAGTGCTGCATTTTTTTCATTGACGTTTTGACGCTATCTCAACACTCTAGTTTGCACTTCTTGGATGATCCATGACATGGTATTTCCTTGTACTAGCTATGATTATTATCAACAGCGCCTAAAGATCATCTGGAGCTCTGGACAGTGCAGTATGTCTTGCAAGGGTCATGGTCATGGTTGTTTAAGTAATGATGATTATTTACTGCTTTACGCTACTCGTCACTGCAGCTGCAGGACACAACTACTACTGCTATGTCTTGCATTTTTTTGGAGATATTTCTGCAGGAAAAGAAACCATATATATTTATATTGGTGCACACTGAAGTCCAGCTACTTCAGTTTTGTTAACATTATTGTGCAACACAAGTAATTATATACCAAATGGAAGAGTAGGAGTCCTAGAGTGAAGAGGTAGTCCCATGCACATATGGCAGCTGAGCTTGTTGCTTTATGAGAAAAATAGGAACTGGACTTTAGGGTCCATATATATATCCGGCCACAATTCTGTTCTCGTTCACATTCATATATCAAATGGAATTGTAGGAGTATTCGAGTGGAGAGGTAATCCCATCCACACATGGCACCTGTGACGATGCAAGCAAGCTGCTAGCTGTACGATAAATTAGGAACCAGACCCAACAGGAACACGAACGATGTTCAATGTGTCCTGCAGCTGCAACTCATTCAATCCATGGCCCAGAGCTACGGACACAGGACTGCCAGGTGGCCGGGGTCGTATTTTTTTTTTACTGGGGTCTTATACGTTGAAAATTTAGTAGGTATAAGAGGTTGGCAGGAAACCATTGGTGTCGGCCAGACCCCAGCGAGAATGACACTGTTTTGGTGATGGAGGTAGTAGCTAACAATCAGGCTGGCACACAACAAATTTGGCTAAGCCTTGGGATCCTTACCGTTGGGCTCCTTGTTGTAGTCCCAAGTGCTACTATGTCTTGCTGATGAAAGAATTCACAACAGCATACGTACTACCTAGGCTATATAGCAAGAGTCGAACACCAACTTCGAGCTACAAGGATGCTGAAATCAATGCCATTAATCAACTACTTTTGTCCATTCTCATTTATTAACCTATTTATCTGTGGCAAACCAGAATCATAATTTGTTATTGAGAGTGCATATATGATTCTAGTGAATAAACAAATAAAGATTTTGGCACTAATATCTATCATCACTAGACGATTGCATTTACTCCACTGCACGAGGTGTCAAATCAAATGGCATTGGCCTCTGCATATTTGATTGGATATATACCTCACGACGCAGCTTCAGTTCAGACTTCAGACCACCACTCACAACAAACCCATGCGTTGATACATTGTGTGTAGCATGCGTAAGAGGAGGTCCATCCACAATTATGTGTATGTGGCATACATATATGGGAGTTAGAGGCATTGGGAGCATGGTAGATGCTGCGCTTTTGTTTCCCAGATGGAGTCATTCAGCATAGGCTTCATTCATGTATTTTGACACATTACGAGGTAAATTGAGTTTAAGTTATAAACAATAACAAAGGGTGAATCACTTAATATAATGCATTAGGATAGTGTGTAGACAGCCTAATGGAACGTGCATGACACCAAATCCATTGGGTTCTGCTGATCCAGCAGCAAGGAAAGTAAGCTATGTGATTA